GTTTCTATAGAATTGATTGTATTCTTTCTTAAATGTTTGATAGGATTCACCATGAAGCCATTGGGGCCTGGGTTGTTTTATTTTGTGTTGTTTTGTTTTGCCGGCAATATTTTAAATTGCAAATATTTGTAATAAATTAAAGGATATTCAGATTTTCTTTTTCTTCCTGAGCCCATTTTTATAATTTATGTTTTTCAAAGATTTCACCCATTTCATCTAAGTTGTGAATTTACTGACATAAAATTGTTCATGATATACTTTTAGTGTCCTTTTAATGTTAGTAGCATCTGTAATGATGCCCCCTCCTTCATGCCTGAAAATGGTCATTTGTATCTTCTTTTCTCTGTCTAACTACTATTACTGTAATTGTATTGATTTTTTTTCAAGGATGTACTGTTTACTTTTATTGATTTTACTCTTATGTTTCCTATTTCATTGATTCCTTCTCTTTTATTATTTCTTCTCTTTGTCTTACTTTGAATTTGGTCTGTTCCTCTTGATTGGGTTTTTGACATGGAGGCCTAGATTATTTATGTATTTCTAATACAGACATTTAAATCTACAAATTTTTTCTCTAAGCACTGCTTTAGCTGCATACCATATGTTTAGATTTCATTATTTCATTTTCATTGAGTTCAAGATATTTTTCTCTCCTACTTGCCTCCATTTTAACTTTTCCCAAAAGTATTGAATAATTGTCCTAGATTGAATCTCCATAGGATAAAAATTGTTTCTTTTAAACTTATGCTTTGTTTATGCCTAATAATTTTGGTAGGTCTAATCCTTTACAGATAATTTTTCTCTTTCTGTTTTTTGATACATAGCATGCATATTAGTCTTACTTTATTCACATGTGGAATTTGAAGCTCATAATTTATTGATCTAAAGAATGAAGTAGAATAATCCTTTTTTAAATTTTGCCAGTGAAATACCAAGCTGCAAGAAAAAATCCTGAAATGAATTAAAGTACAATATTTTAAGTAGTATTTCAAATGTTCAAAGCTTAGAGTTTGTGTATGTATGCATTTTTACCCAAGGTTAAATAATTAACTTTTCAAATATTTATGGCTTTCTTAAATCCTAGCCTAGAGCTAGCAAATAGTGTGTATGCTTCTTCTTCTTTTTTTTTTTTGAATTGGAGTTTCACTCGGTCGCCCAGACTGGAGTGCAGTGGCTGCTCCTGGCCACGGCAGCCTCGCCTGCTGGGCTCCAGCGATCCTTCCGTCTCAGCCTTCCGAGTAGCCAGAATTACAAGCGCACACTACCACGCCCAGCTAATTTTTTGATTTATTGTAGAGATGAGGTCTTACTGCCCAGGCAGGTCTCGAACCTGCGGGCTCAGGCAATCCACTCACCTCAGCCTCCCAAAGGCGCGGGATTACAGGCTGAGCCACCAGTTTGTATGCTGGTAAAGCTTCATAAGTGATCATTGCTCTACTTCCTACAGGGTAAGATGCATAATTGAAATATTTCCTGTGCTATTCCCAAGTTATTTAAAGAATCAATTTTGCCAATAAATACAAGAAAATAATAATAGGTCAATTTTTCCCTGTTATTTAAGCAAATTGAACATTTTCATTTCCATCTTTCAGAATTATTTTCTAAAACTAGTATGAAGAAATATACACAGAAAGTTTTTAAAACTTAAGAGGAAATATTACTTTGTAATTACATATATTACAGTCACAGCGTCAGTAAATTTATGCAAATGATTATTTATAAAATTTCAGGATTTTGAAAATTCATGGCATCTCAAAAACAGCATTTACCCAGAATTAGCATCTTAAACATTTGGATTAATATTCTGTTTAATATTATTTCCTCTTAGGCACTTAGATCATATGCTAGTAATTTAGGATTTGTTTTACTTCAAACTTTTTAAATTTTTTTCATACACTGAAGAAAATTATTTACTAGGCAAATTAACAGTGAAAATGAGATTTCAGTTGGTTCACCTGAAGATTCAAGTCATTTTCAAGAATGTAAGTAGCATTACTTGCATATATAAAATTAATGTATAGTTGAGCCTCATCTAACATAAATTGTAGTCTCTAAGAACCTTTTATAAGCAATCAGTTTATATTCTTATATACTTTGAAACCAATTAAACTGCTTTTACTTTCAAATATTGACTAGTATAAGTCACTAATTCATACTGGCTGTCCCTTCTCCTGCTGTCAGTCAGCTTTTTTGTATAGATTGTCAAATATATCCATGCATTGAATATCCCCTTCTTTAAATTTATTATGACTCCATTAAAGGTTTGTCTTTTCTTTTTCAATGTGGACCTTAAGGCCAAAGTAAGCAGGTGTTGCATAATACTGAGCTTAGCCATAATGGATCAAGAAGGATAGGGGGAAAATCAGTAAGGTACTTTCCTGTGGGAATACCCCATAATCTAGTGCCAAATTCATTGCCATTCATGAGGACAATAACCTTTGTTTTGCAGTATTTCGCAGGCAGTTTCTAAGATTTTTTTTTTTTAATTTCCTAGGGAAGATGAACTTTTCTCTATCTGCTGTGATCTATCACATTTATTTTTAGTTGTAGATTTCTTTTTATCAAAAATAGTTAAAAGACAGGTATAAAACTAACTATTTGAAAACTATTTACCTAAATTTTCTGTTCCACCTTCTTTAGTTAGTCTAAGAAAATGGTCTTTTTATCTATTACTGTAAATGCATATAACTGTTATGATTTTTCATATGTAATTATAATTACCCTTAAAGAAGAAAAATGTGTTTATATTACAATAAACATTTTTTTAATTCTTCAAATATACTGTTTTATTTTTCTGTATGAACATAAATCTCTTTTTCTATTTGTCATCACAGAGAAAAGTTGCCAGGCCTTGGAATTTATCTCACTGATAAACTTCAGCCAATTTAATAACTAGATGAGAGCAAGAAGAAATACTTATTTATATTTATATTTTTTAAAAATAAATTTTTCATGCTTTCACACAGACATTAAAGTAGTATACAAAGTATGCGAAGTTGTTACTTTTTTAAAATCTGTATTAGGAATCTAATAATTTGACTGTCCTCATTGATACACCCTTGTTCTCTCTCGTACCCCAAAATACTTCATGTATCTTAATTAGATAAATTATTTTATTTGTCTATATAGAACTGCATTTAGGTGATAGGAAAATTGTTTTTGGTATTTATTCAATGATTTGACATGTTTGGATCTATTTTCTCTGTTGTTCATGGATTCAGACAGACTATTGAATGTTTTAAGGTTGTTAATGTCATTCTGTTATTGTTACACTGCTAAAAAAAAAAAAAATAGGCAGCATACATGTGGAGAAACTGAATGGCCACAGAGACATGACTTCCAGGATGCTAACACAAAGGCAGCTTGCTAGCTAGTCATTCTGTAATAAAAAGCTTTAGTGCTTTGCTCTTAAATATGAATAAATAGAAAAAAACTACTGTTTATTGGTGGAAAGTATCAACTATGAACAAGAGAGACCAAAAGACATAATTACAGTGAGCAGAAGAAAAATTGCAAAAAGCAACTTATTTATCCTGAGATAAATAAGAAAAATTGTTGCTTCTCTAAAGCAAAAAGAGGATGCTGTGAAAAGGAAAATTGGAGAATAAGAAAAAGCTCTAAGAAATGTAAACTATAATATTGAATTTCTTCCATAAAAGAGTTGGAAGATATGCCCAAGTAAATTTTCCAGAAAATAAAAGGACAAAGATGGAAAATGAAAGAGAAAACACTTGGAAAGGCAACTCAGTAGTTATGTTGTTCAATGGAGGGTCGCCCCCGGGAAAAATTATTAAATAATATTAAAATCTGTCCTAGACCTAAAAGACCATGAATCTCCGAAGTGTACCTTGTGCAAGGATTTCAAGACCCAGTCCAAGGCCTATTATTATAAAATTCAAAAACATTGAGAATAAAGTTAATTTCCAAAAAGCTTTCAAAAAGACAGTGGTGTGGGTACATATGAAGAAATATGCTTCAGAGTGAATCCTGGTAGCAATTTTGCTATTTTATTTTTTTTTAAAAAGAAACAATACAAAAAATTCTGATGGGTTTTTCAACTTGGAGTGATATGCACAACTGTACTGCCAATGAGTTATGTCGCCTAGGACATGTTCAGATATATTAGGACAACAGAAACATATCTCTGGTACTCTCCGGGATGAAGTTTCTGAAAGCACACTCCAGCAGAGTGAGGGGGAGCTAATCAAGAATAAAGAAGGCATAGGGAAACAGGGGAGTGAAAAAAAGGATGCCAAGGGGCAACATTCAAGGATGACAGTTCTTTGTAAAAGTAGCTCATACCTGATAAAAACAGTGACATTTCTAGAAAAAAAATAAGGGGGTAGAGGGAACTGGTGAATTATGTGACACATTGAATGTTTAGAAAATAGTATTGGTTTTCGATAGGTCTGATGGAGCTTCTGGAAAATATCAGCACAAGTGCATAGACCATTAAGCAATTTTTTAAATAAAAGAGGCAATTGTAACTCTTGAGAAAATTAAATGTTGTGCACAAACAAAACTTGATGATTGTGTACCAGTGGGCTCTGCAGTAAACATTATTTCTACAGATGTACCAAAGTATTATTGGTACAACTGTACTATTATTTTAACTGAAAGTTGTTCGGTTTACTTTGAGAGAGTAGGAAAAGAGTAGTTTAAGAGCTAAAGCCTCATTTACCAAGCTAGACAAGTCAGTAATTCGTGCTTTAACAAATTGATAAATACAGAAATAGCAGAATAAGCATCTATTTTAAAATATAGAGGAAAGAACAAAGAACCATTTCAAAGAATCAAAAATGGGTGTATCAGGAATGGCAAGGAGTCACTGGTTTTCATTTTAAACTTTTAGTGTTTAGAACTCTTTAAAACTATTTCATGTGTCCCTCCTTTCTTAAAAATAAATTTTAATTACAAAAATGGGTATTTTAAATGTCAAGGAAATAAAATAATTATGGCCTGTCCTCAACTTTTTATGTTTTTGTCTTGTTATTCTCTAGAGTTCCTGGAATAACTATTGCTACAGATATTATCTGTGGTTTTCCTGGAGAAACAGATCAGGATTTTCAAGAAACAGTGAAACTTGTTGAAGAGTACAAATTTCCAAGCCTCTTTATTAACCAGTTTTACCCAAGACCAGGAACTCCTGCTGCAAAAATGGAACAAGTCTCAGCACAAGTGGTAAGATTTTTTTTTAAGATTTTTTTTTTTGGCCAATAGCTATAAAAATACAGCAGTGTTACCTACCTTAATACAACTTGCTTATGGTATAACCCTGAAGTTACAAAATGTGAGGAGTTTCCAAGTTGGGGTCAGGGGCAGGGGGGCCATGGATGAGTTAAATGGCCTTAGGCAACTGAAATATAATCAACTTTTTCTTCTTTTGAAGAGTCAATTGAGATAACTTTGGGAGACTTTTTTTTACTTAATCTCTAGTATTTACCTGTGTGTGTATAAGATAAACTTTTGATGTTTTGAAATAAGATATTTAAATATCTATGAGTAAATGGGGTTCCATTTTTCCCTACAACTTATTGGGGGTCCCATGATTTTCCTACTTCTTCATGGGATAGATTTAATCCTATCTAATTATTTTCAGGTATATGTTGCTTTTCCAGTGAACCTCAATTTAATTTTATCCTTTCATGTTCATATATACAATAGAATAGATTAATTCATTCTTTTATATACGAGGTATTTATTATTAGGTATAGCTTACATACAGCAAAATTCACTCTTTTAATGTACAGTTCTATGAATTTTGGCAAATATATCACAATCAAGATATAGAACAGTTCCCTAAACCCCCACCCCCAATTCTTTCTTCCCTTTTGTAATCATCTGCTCCCTCCCTCCCTAGCTCCTGGCAACTATTATCTGTTTATTGTCCAATCTATTCTTTGTTTAAACTTTGCTTCTTCTTTAACAAAAAAGATTTTGTATTATAACATACCTACAGAAAAGTATACGACTGTGCATTTTCATAAAGTAAATACTTATGTATAACCACCAGTCACTACAAGTAATAGAAAATTTTCAGTACCACAAAGAACCCTGTCACATCCTCTATTTACCATCCTCTCTGCTTCCCCGAAGGAATCTACTATCCCTCATTCTAATACCATGCATTGGTTTTACCCATTTTAAACTTTGATATACATGAAAGAATTTATCTATGTTCAAATGTTTTAATTATCGGTTTGGGGGGACTTTGTTTTGTTTGTTTTGTTTAACATTGTGTTGGTAAAACTAGTCTGTGTCTTTAAAAGTAGTTGTAGTTCATCTATTTTTATTGCTATTTAGTGATCTTTAGCATGCATATGCCAGTTTATCTATCCTATTGTTAAAGAGGATTGAGTATTTCCAAAATCCCAACATTAGTTTTACAACTAATACAGCTGTCAGTATTCTTGTGTTTATCTTTTGTTCCACTTACGTGTAAATCTTTCCACTGGGGGGCTAGCCAGGAGTATAATTGCTTAGTCAAAGGAAATGGAATTGATCTGCTTTACTAGATACTGCCAAATAGTTGAATAAATTTACAGTCCCAACAACAGTATATAAAATTCTAGAAGCTCCATATCCTTGCAAGCTCTTGGCATTATGTTCTTAATGTTTGCCATTCTGATGGGAATGTAATGCCATTTTAATTGTGGTTTTATATTTCCCTGTTAACTAATGAGATTGAATGTCTTTTATATGTTGATTGGTTATCTGTATATCCTTTTTTAAGACTTACCTGTTCAAATCATTTGCTCAACTATCTGTTGGCTTACCAGTTTCATTTTTTACCCCACCCCCAAACCCCACCTGCTGATAGGAGTTATTTCTGTACAAGTCCTTGGTAGATCATGGTAATTTAAAGATCTTCTTCCATTCTATAACCCACCTGTTTATGGTGCCTTTTCTTTTAAGTCTGTTAGTATTATGAACTACATCGAATAGCTTTCAAATGTTAAATCAACCTTGCATTTCTGGAATAAACTGTACTTGGTACATGATGTATTTCTGTTAATACGGTATTTCTATTGATTTGGTAATATTTTATGAAGACATTTTGCATTTTTTTCATGGAGGATATTGATCTATAGTTTTCTTGTAATGTCTTAATTTTGGTTTCAGAGAAACATTGGCCTCATACAATGAATTGTTTTTCTGGAAGAGTTTGTATAGAATTATTATTATTTCTGCCTTAAGTATTTGATATAATTGCCCAGTATGGTAAGCAGAATTCTCACTTGGTCCCCCAAATTTTCTCATCCCTCTCATCCCCAGAGTACACACCTATAACCCCAAGAACTGTAGATTTGATATTTGCTCTACCATCTGATTGCTTGGTTCGGTTTTGTTATCTTCCCCATTTCATGAAAGGCAGTAGCGCATATTTACAGCTGAGTAATTTTTCTCAGCCTCATCCTGCCACTAGAATGTTATAGGTCGAATAGCCTCTTTATTTTGTACTGTCTCTGTCCTTTTCATTCTACACTGGCAGTGGGTTTTTTGGGTTTTTTTGGTTTGGGTTTTGGTTTTTTTGTTAGGTTCGTTGGTTTGGTTTTGGGGATTTGTGGGGTTTTTTTGGCTAAAACAGTTTCTTAAGAATTTTCTGGATCTTCCCTGGATTTTACTGGAATTCACTTCATTAGACAAAAGCTACATCCACACATCTTTATGAGATAAACCCTTCTCTGCCTCAGCCTCCTGCTGAGAGTATTTTCTTTGTATTCATCCTGCTTGGGATTCTTGGTGCTTTTTTACTCTGTGCCTTCATCTCTTTCCTAAGATCTGGAAACCTCAACTGTTCTTTCTTCCTTCATACAGATATATCTCTTCTGCTCTATTCTCCCTCATTTCTTCTTCAGTGATTTCAATTATGCATGTTAGATATTTTCATTATGTTCCCTAGTGTCTGATATATTCTTTTCTATATTTTGCATTCCCTGTTCTCTGTGTTCTCTCTGGAAATTCTTCCTCATCTAGTTTCCTATATCCATAATGGTCTCTGGGTCAACTGTAGCAGAGGCATGGTGTAGTCCTGGAGCAGCAGTGCTGAGATCGCCTGTGAAGTGCTGGAAATGCAGATTCCCAGGCCTACCCCTAGACCTGTTCAATCATAATCTGCATCTCTAGGTGATTTGTGTAGACCTTAAAATTTGTGAAGCACCATTCTCGTTCACTAATCCTTTCTTCATGTTTTTAATCTGCTGTCAAACTTATCTTTAGAATTTCTAATTTTAGTTCATTTTTTTACTTCTAGAATTACAGCTTGATTTTTTTTCACAATTTCAGCATTCTAGTTAAATTCTTCATATTTTCCTTTATATTTTTTGAACATATTGCTCAATTATCTTACAGTCCATTCCAAATTCTTCAAAATCTGGATCTAATGTTGGTTTGTTTCTGCTGTCTTTTTGTTTTTCTTTCTTCTTGATTCTGGTCGTCTGTGTTTCTCTTTGTGTATTTAGTAGTTTTTTATTGAATGGTGACCATTGTTTACGTTTTTAAAAAGCCTAAGGATTCTAGACTATAATGTATCTTCCTCCAGGGAGGATTTATTTTACATGTACCTGGTGCTAAGGTAAGAACTGATTTTTTTAACCTACTTGGGATTGGTTTTTGAAACTGTTTTTCATTCTTTCTGAGATTGGTTTATGTCTGGTTTGCCCTTACTTTTGACAGCAGCCAAACTGACTATTAAGGGGAGGGGCTCTGGTTTGCAGACTTTGCCAATTCCCATAGTGTAAATACTTCTAATGTTGCCAATTTCAGACTACCAGTGTGACATTACGAACATGGAATTGGGAAGAGATGCACCCAATCAGTTTTTGTGAACTGGTACAAGCTGATCTAATATACCACCAAGTGTAGCTCTTTTAGGTCCTAAATGGTATTCTGTAGTGTTTACCAGGGCTTTTTCTTCATGGCAGATCTTCAACTCTAATTTTTGTGTTCCCAGGCTCATAAGACTGCATCAGGCTCTGCAAAGTTTCTCGGCATCTTAGCTTTAACTTGGCTGCTCAGCCCCCCAGCCACTACTTAAAATTGATAAATGTCTAGAAGGAAAAAATGAGCTCAAATATTGAGCTCTTCTCTATGGGCTTTCCTTCTCTCTTGGAGCTTGATTCCTCAAGTCCACATTGTCTTGGCAGATTTTTGATGTTTAAATAGTACATATTGTATATTTTATTCACCTTTGCTAATTGTTCTTGGCAAAAAGATTGCTCTGATACAAGCTAGTTTGCCTCAGTCAGAAGCAGAAGTGATGGCATAAAATCAGCTTCTAAGTGCCTTTTTTGTCTTGTCTATTATCTCCTAAACATAGCCCCTTAGAATCTTCCTCACATTTTTAGACTTCAGTCACCCAGTCCTGGAATAGCATAATTTTTTTTAGACTTTGTTTTTTTAAAGCAGTTGTAGGCTCATAGCAAAATAGAGCAGAAAATACATTGAGTTCCCATATGTCCCCACAAATGCACAGCCTCCCCTACTGTCAACATCAACCACCAGAGTTGTATATTTATCGTAACTGACGAACCTATATTGACACATCATTGTCACCCTAAGTCCACGATTACCATTAGGGTCCACTCTTGGTACTGTAAATCCTATGGGTTTTATCAAATGTATAATGAATGACATGCAACCATCATTATAGTATCATCAGAATAGTTCATTGCTTTCAAAGTACTCTGTGTTCCACCTGTTTATCTACTCTCCCCCAAACCCCTGGCAAGCCACTGATCATTTTACTGTCTCTATAGTTTTACCTTTTCCAGAATGTCATATGTTTTGAAACATATGGGATGTAGCCTTTTCAGATTGACTTCTTTCATTTAGAAATATGCGTTTAAGATACCTTTGTGTCTTTTCATGGTTTGGTATCTCATATTTCATTTTAGTGCTAAATAATATTCCACTGTCTAAACATACCCTGATTTATTTATCCATTCACCTACTACAGGCCATCTTGGGTGCTTCCAAGTTTTGACAATTATGAATAAAGCTGCTATAAATATCCTTGTGCAGGTTTTTATGTGAACATAAGTTTTCAGCTCATTTGGGTAAATACCAAGGAGGAGCATGATTGCTGAATTGTATGGTAAGAGGATGTTTAGTTTTATTAAAAACTGCCACACTATCTTCCAAGTCGCTGTACCATTTTTCATTCTCACCAGCAGTGAATG